GGGCCTGTTTGTAATGTTTCTGGTTTCCATCAGCACTCCGCGGATGCAGTCTATTGCCCATGCAAAGTCTAGGATGCCCCAGGCAGGGGATCAGAGCAGGTGGCTGTTGAAAAATCGGGACGATCTGCAGAACCAGAACGATACAGCACCGCTGCTGCAGCAGAAGCTTAAGCCAAAGCCTTCATGCCCCGTGGCGCAGAACATGCTATCATGAGCAGCTGTCTGTTTTCTCCGAGAGCACCACGACGCCCGTTAAACCGGTTTGTGGGCACGACTCGCCCGAGGCAAGCTGCAAAGGTGGGGCTGTGACAGTTTCCCCACCGACTTCACATGTCCAGTGTGAGGCACTTCTCCGGGTGTCACAAACAGGATGGACAATAGTTGGCTCCTTATCTAGATCCGAACTGTTCCAGACTACAGGGTACAGAGTATAGAAGGTTCTGCTGACCATGGCATGGAGAGTTCGAAGAAGTGCGCCAGCATCATCCACAAAATCAGTCTCGAAACTTAGGAGCCTATATAACCTCCCTTTAGCTCACTTGTGCCGGAAGGCTGTTCGGGAGCTTCCGGCATGTCCGAAGCACAACCCTTCCACGAAAACGCCACTAGCACTCACCCCGAAGCCTGCCCTACTTTGACAAAAAGCTTTGGAATCAGAACCCGCAAGATGGTACAGCCAGGATGAAATCCTGAGAAAACAGAGCGTGGCCCCTCACGGCTTGGGGTTCATCAGACATCCTCGCATGCAGAGGGAAAGCCCCGACAAGGATCATCGTGTCCGCACATCTAGCAACCGTGCGCTGAAATCGTCTGATTTTTTGGAACCAAGGTAGGGTGAAGCCGATCTCTTGCGAAAGCTGCCAAATCGTCCATCTCTTCCGAACACTCTATATGATGAACCCCTCCCTGGAAGCCTGGGAATTTCCCTCAAAAACAGCCAGCAGCGTCCTAGTAGGCCACGCCCCGCCCACCGCCTAGGCTCTGCTTTCGTGCAGGTCTGTATCACCATCGGCATGTCCTGCTGCCTGACCAACGCTTCGCCTTTAGAGCACTTCGAGCTGCGATCAAGACTGCCCATACCCGCCATCCGCACTGAAGTTCCCCCTGCAGCCGGGAAGCTGCGGTGTCATCTGGAGCTCAAGACGCGTCGGCGAGTCGCCCCCTGGGCATCCGAAGGGGGCATCCGAAGGGAGGTAACCCGGCAAGAAAACCTATATATTTATCAGGATATCTCTGTGCCGTGCTTGAACAAACCACGAAAGAAATAAACAAACGCATGGCATACATGAATACAAAAGATATATGAGTTGATGTACATAGCTAGAAAGAAAGATAGATAGATAGACAGATGGATAGACAGATAGACAGACGTACAGACAGACAGACAGATAGATAGATGCATCCACAGATAGCTAGATAGATAGATAGATAGATAGATAGATAGATAAACAGATAGCTAGATAGATAGATCGGTAGATAGATAGATAGATAGATAGATACATAAACAGATAGCTAGCTAGCTAGCTAGCTCGATACATGGACAGATAGATAGGTTGATTGATTGATTGATTGATTGGTTGGCTGGTTGATTGATTGATTGACTGATTGATAGATAGCGCAGTTTTTGCATACTTCTTGAAGCAGAAGCCTGTAACCTGACAAGAATGCAAAAAAGGTTAGGGCAGTTGCTGCCGCTGCTTTGGCCAAGTCGCTGAGGACTGTGACGGGGATGGCAGTGCCAACGCTTTGAGGCACCAAAGCACCTTAGATCAAAGGGCTTCATTTTGCACTTGCATGCCGGAGCCTTCCGAAGGAGCGGATTGTCACGACTGAACCGTCGAACCGTACTTTCAACAACAACTCTGCTTCTCGGGTGCTAGATGAATCATTAAGGACACCTGTCAACCCAAGAAGCCAATAGCTAACCTGCCCAGACAGAGAACCAGAAACCCTACAGCCCCTAGGCAGCTTGAGTGGCCGATGGCACGGAAGCACGCACCCAAGTCCCCGGTGTCCTGCAGTGCTTGGAATCTTCGTTTCATCGACAGCCACGAACTACACGGCAGCAAGATCACAACATCAACACGAGAAAAAAAAAAAACACTACCTGAGGCCCTCCACAGCAGAATGAGCCCTTTGGCCCGACATGCCATTCCTAACCTCCTTACAAGGCAAAGGATATCCTAAACCCTAACCGGCCCAAACCTACCTTGTTTTTGCAGGGTCCCTCTAAATTCGGTATTGGAGTTTCCAATGAGAACCTACAAAAACCTGTAGGTCTTGGTAGGTTCAGGTAAAACCCTCAAAGACCCCCAAATGCCCCAAACCCTAAACCCTAAACCCCAAAACCCTAAACCCCTAAACCCTAAACCCCAAAACCCCATACCCTAAACCCTAAACCGCCAAAACCCTAAACCTACGCCCTTCCTGAAGGTTCACCGGCCCGAAACGGCAGATCAGGTCGCCCAGCTGCAGGCCGGCAGCCTACGGCTTCTTTGCCAAAGAACTTGTGGAGAAGGTTTAGGGTTTAGGGGTTGAGGGTTTATATAGGGGTTTTAAGGGTTAGGGGTTTTAGGGGTTTTAGGGGTTTAGGGGTTTAGGGGGGGTTTAGGGGTTTAGGGTTTTTTTCCCTCCCACTTAGCTTGGACGAGCCCGCATTGCAGGGTTTAGGGGCTTCGACACGTGCGTTCGCACAGTCAGGCACGGATAAGTCTCATAACGCTAGCTTGCCACAGGGATGTGCAGGAGAGCAGCCAACACGGCTCAGCAAACCCGAATCATAAACTCCGGACCTAATCGCTGAACCACCCGTACTTCAAAAGACTTCTTTAGGGTTTAGGGCTTCGGATTTCTGTGCCAAGAAGGGCTGAGAAGGTTCATCATTATGCTTCAAAGGGCTGCGTCTGCTGAGCGGCACTTTGAATGTAACTGTAGGAGTTTTGCGTACATCGCCTACTGGGTTTCGGTTTTCATGCTGTCGGATCTAAGATCGTAGAACTTTCTTTGCAGCGGAACCCTTCCTTAATTAAGGGGTTGAGCTTCTGAAACTGAAAAGCCCCACCAAACGCCCAAAGCCCGAAAGTCCTATAAAATTTTCAGCCCAATCGACTACAAGCCTACAGGCGTTCAACCCTAACCACCCGAACCATAAACCCTGAAACCCTGAGCCACTACAGAAGCCCTGAGCCCCTAGACCACAGGCTTTCTTGTCGCCAGGTCGACTTACCTCAAACCTTAAACCCTAAACCACTTTTTCAGGCCTCGGGCTGGACAACCGGTCTAGCCAAACACACTCCCCTAACCTACAGCAGCGCTAAGCCCCTAAACCCTAACCCTTTTTTGTCGCCAGACCTGCGCGGGCGATCCTTCGCTCACCTCGTCGATAACGGCCTGAGATGCTCTGTGGGTCGGGGTCGGTTCAGGAAAGCGAGGAGGAGTGAACCAAAGCGAGCCCTGGGGTTAGGGCTTGCGGTTTATAAGGGGGTTGCAAGCAGCCTATATACCTTGAACTGCCAGCGAACATAAATGGGAGGACCAGCTTTTTGGGCAATCCAGGCGTTGCAGCAGAACACAGAAAACCCCCACCGAACGATATTCTCTAAACCCTAAGCCATACAGCCCCAAATCGTAGCTCTTTTCCTGGATTGCAGGTTTAAGGTTCCTAAAAAACTGCGGTGTCGGGGTAGATGCAGCCAAGAATCAAAAGGAGCCGCCAGCTTCACCTGGAGGAGGACGTTCCTGAAATTGATACAAGGGGCAGCTGTGCGACAGCTACCCTACTACAGCAAACGTCACATACAACCATACAGTCGCAGTTATCATAGGATACCGACTTATGGCGCACATGACTCTGTCAATTTTCAACATGAAATTTGGAGATGGAAGAATCCCTGAATCTGAGCCCAAACCCTAAACCTCCTAAACCAACAATGTATGATCGAATCTGCATCCAAACCCCATGAAAAGCCCCCTAGACCCTGAACTCTATAAACCCTAAACCCTAAACCTTAACCTCTATAAACCCTAAACCCTAAACCTTAATCTCTAAACCATAAACTTTAACCTGAATTGGAGGCCGGTCTCGGGTTCTCCGACATGGGATCATCCTCGGCTTCGGCGGGGGCGGCTGCAGCAGGCCCTGACCGCGGGACGTGCACCTGACAGATGTCTGTGGAGGTCTTGGAGGCAAACTTCTTAAAAAGGGTTCAGGGCAGGTTTGGTGCTGGTTCTGAGTTTAGGGATGGTCCTGCAACTGAGTTTGGGATTCTCCCTTCGACCGCTCATGGCTTCAAGGCGTGAGACGCGGAGGGCTCTCGGGCTTTGCAGGTTGAGGGCTTTGAGTTTATCGGGTGTAGGGGTTAGGGCCAGGGTGGCTGTGGGGTTTTAGGGTTACGGGGTGGTGCCAGTCGACTCACGTGTGCCTTGCCATTGACGGACTGGGAATTAGTGATACAGTGCTCTACAGTCGTGTTCCACAACACTGGAACTTCGATGTTGGTGCTAGTCTTTCAGGCGGGACTGCCTGTCTGAAAAGAAAACTGCTACGCTTTGAGTCCGGACACCTCCAACCAAATGTTGCTGCTGCTACGACAAGCATCAGCTCGCGCTTCGTTTTGCAAACCCTAAGGCTCCATGGATGGCTCCATGGATTTATATCGTATATACTTAGGCCATAAAGTACCTTCAACGGAACCCCTGTAAGGCCCATATTAACTATATGAATACAGGTACCTGGAGCCTTAGGGCAACCAGGGCTTGAGCGACTTGTCGCGTAAATGCAGCCTTCGCCCCTGCATGAAGCGCAGCGATGGCCTGGCCAGAAGCTACACAGGGGAGCCCTGACTAATTAACTACTACATAATATATACTAATTAATTACTACATAATATATACTAATTAATTACTACATAATATATACTATGTACATCTGTATACTGCATGTTCACCTGAAACTCTTCGGGATGTAAGATGATGGTATCGAAGAAGGAGAACCATGCGAGTCAGAGAGTGCAGAGGTGCAGGCATGCGAGAGTAGCGGTTGATGAAAAGCCAGCCAACTGTTTGGTGGTAAGCTCAGCTAACATCAGCTGGCAAACAAAAGGTACCTGTTCGATCTTCTTCATTACTTCGGTGTGGTCCGTCTGTGCGCAGACATACCTCAGTTGCCCGGGGCCAGTGGCTTTAATCCTGAATCAAGCAGCAGCAGCAGCAGCACTTACGCTGTGCGTTTCAAACTCCAAGCCAGAAACGACCCCTCCAAGACCATTCTCAAATGGCCGCAAACTTGAGGTGATGACCAGTGCCCAACTTCCCGCGGCACAGAACAACCTCACCAACTGCACCGGCCGTGCGACTTGTTCCGAGCTTGCCGAACTGCGTAGAGGTCTATGTCACCTCTGGGAAAGCCCTCTTCATCCACGAGAGGCCCTGAGACACCTGGCATACCTCGCATCAGGAGTCACGGACGCGTTTCAAGGTGATTTTCAAAATCTTCCTTAAGAGCCTGAAGGTATGCCCTCCAAAAGTTCGTCATGTGACCATCTTCTGTGAGGTAGTCATACAAGGTCTTGATCTCGGCTTCGAGACGATTTTTCTCCTCGTCAGCTTCGAGAGGGCTTGGCAACTGAGCTTGGCAAATGGGGAAAGAGGTGTAATCACAAGCAGCAAAACCTTAAGCTCGACTTGTGAAGCTTGGTGACAGCAGGACTGCTTGTGTACAAGAATGGCATCACCAAACGGCTTCCAACTTGAGCCGGCTCATAGTATATGCTGTTCTAACCCAGTATGGTATCAGAACCATAACTCTCATAGTATTGACCGTCACCGGGAAGCCTCTGGGCGCCATGAGTCTGCTCCGTCTTTCCCATTCCTTCAAGCCTAGTGCTCATGCCTTTACGTCACCTGTCCTGGTCCAGCTTCCGGAACTCTTCAAGCGCAGCAGGGTCCATTGCGTGCAGCAGCTAGAGAGCAAAAGTGTTCGCTGTGTTCGTTACACCGGGCCTGTGAAGCCGTACGAAAAGATTTGTGTTGGGCGAGAGTACTCCTGTAAATGTCCGGCTCTGGTCGTGCCCCGACTTTAGAGTTCCTGAGTTGTGTGCATGTCCCACTTCAGGATTCCGAGCAAACTGAGGAACGGTTGAGGTAGATTGCTTAAGTCTACTTTCTTGTGCTGCATATACCGGGCTTAACTCAATGGAGCCAAACATCAGGGGAAGATAACGACTTCCGGAACTGAGTAGAGCAGCAATCAACGTGGAAGCAGTGTTCGACGGAGCCTTCGGACACATTGTGTATTGTTGTTGATTTGCCCCATGTATATACGTCTGCACTGGATGAAGCATCGGTCGTGAATTCTTACCTCTAACCTTGCAGGAAGCCTTGCAGCATCTGTGCAAAAATCGCATCAAACCAATACTTGATCTTGCTCCCCAAGAGCCCAGTTGCCTATGTAGTACGTTACCGGGTTATGGGTACTTAAGGTATGTGTGTGTGTGTGTTTATGTGTGTGTGTATAAATAAATAAATAAAACTATATATATAAATATGTGCCCCATACCTTTAGGGTCT